ACGTGACGCCTGGGACGTCAGTGCATGTATGTTCGAGGTAATATCTGTATCATCAGTAGCTTTCACAACAATGGAAAATATTGTTTTGTATATGTTACATATTAACTTAAGAACTCCATGTTGTTATAAAATAAGTTTAGCTCAGTGCTCTGACAATTGATGCAAACAGAGGTAAACTCTTCATACATTCCAAAAGGCAGAATGTTCACTAATTGTTATTAGTACAAATGTCAACAAAAAATCCAACAAGTACCAAAGCAGAGTAACAAAAATAGAACTAACAATATAGCTGTCTTATTACAGTAACCTGAGTATGTACCAGCAGGCTTGAAAAAAACTAAAGTCCTTGTTTTCACTGCTGTTCTTTGCTCTACAAATACAGTGGCTAATTCTCATTACTAATCTTTTATTTAATCTCCCTGTGAACAAGTCTGTTGACGATACTGGATACTATTTCAAACACATCATCATCATCATTGCCTGACTAAACAGATTACTACTGACAAAAAGTCATACAAGTTTTCAAAGCTATTAAAGGTTACATGCAATTTAAAAAAATCTATTTTTGGAAGTAACAAAGGAATTTTCCCTTTTATTGGGAAACAGCCAACATACTGATGTTGCAATCAATATGTAAATATGGTATTTAACATGCCTATATTTTTGCTAACAACTAGAAAACACACTCTATGACCTCTGAAACACTGTCAAATATTTTGGTAATCTTATTACTACACAGACTAAGGTGCGGCAATAAAAAATATTATTGGCCAATCACAGCACAGTTTTCTAAGTTTTAAATTTTCTAAAGGCTAACATGATAACAAACTTATCATCTTGACACGATGTATCATGATCTTCTTTTATAAACATCACTGGCCTTTCTTATTGACTTTTTCTGAACGAGTCTGTAAGATAAAAATATGATTTATGTAGTACAGCAAAGAGAAAGATTCATAGGTACAACCAACACTTTTTAAAAAAACATTTTTCTGGAGAAAGTTATCAAGAGAATAGTCAAGTATGAAAATACGGGTTGAGAAAGTCTCAAACTATTACAATTATAATTTTGCAAGTTTTTGTTGGAAAAAAAATTTTAGAGAGGAATTAACAAACCCTTGGTAAGTTCCCTTTTTAAAGATTATTTTACTTACTTGAAGGCAGAGTTACAGAGAGGGAGAGGCAAGAGAGAGACCTTCTGTCTGCTGGTTCACTCCCCAGATGGCCGCCAGGGTGGGGGCAGGGCCAGGCCAGGGCCAGGAACTTCCCCCAGGTCTCCCACGTGGGCAGCAGAGACCCACGGACTTGGCCAGCGTGGTCCCGACAAGCTCATTCCATCCCTGTCTCAGTGTATTCTGCTTTGGTCTCACAGGTTACCCAAGGGGGAAAAAAAAATCCTTGCAGCTCTTCTATTAAAAAACCAATGAATATTTTTCTGACAAAGAAATAATGGAAGGAGGAGAAAACCTAGTTGGGAGAGGTTTTGTGCCTATGTCCTCCAGACATCCGCCCTCTTTTCTCTAATTGTACTCCGTTGATGTTATGAAAACATGAACGCAGTATAGAATTTAAATGTGGAGGAAAATGAACTTAAACGCTCACTTGAAAATAAAAAAGTCAATGTATATGTCAAGAAAAATAAACTCTGGGGCTGATAATGTGGTGTGGCATGTGAAGCCACCACTTGCAACACAAGCTTCTCCTATGGGGTACCAGTTCCACCCCTGCTGCCCTGCTTCTCATCCAACCGCCCTGCTAACGTGCCTGGGAGGCGGTGGGTAATATTCTCTCACAAATAAATCTTCAGAAGAAGGGAAAAATAAACCTGTTGAAAAGGAAGCATGGAGTGTTGTTGCTTAGAAGTACGACGGTCACACAGCTCTTAGGACGAGCACCATAGTTTTAGAGCAACTTGGGTAGCGCTGCTTAATCACAAGGCAAGGCTAGAGGAGGCCATCTCCACAAGGACATGCCATCACTCTCATGCGTTTATATGCATCGCACCACTCTAGCAAAAAGCCCAAAGGTTTGATGCAGCTGCTATATTTGTGGGTAACTCTCTGAGACTTGATGATTTTTCTCAAAAACAAAAAAACAAAACAACAAACTGGTAAGTATGGATGGCTTTGTGCTACTAATGATCCCTAGCCATTTGTGCTTTTTTTTTTTTTTTTTGTTCCTGAAGAAAGGGCAAATATTTATTTAGTGTCTGTAACAGGGAAGGGACCCAAAGGGGAAATCCAAAGAGATTTAAAAGATGGAAAGTGGAATCTGTTTATGGGAAAGAAACTAGCTTCTCCCACTCCATTTGTTTCCTTGATTTTTTTTTCACCTTGATGTTATAAACCTTTGCTTTATGATTATTTTATTTAAAGTACATAAATTAAGTAAAAGTGAGAAAGTGAATACATTTCCAAAATGACTTGATACTATATTTTAATTACTAAAGTTGGTTTGATAATGGAAATAAAATTCATGAGGACAACTTCTTTCAGCTTTTTACTTTTTCAGGCAGGGTTTAGAAGGTAAAAATTAACATTCAAATGTAACTGTCTCTTTAAAAATTTTTAAAAATTTATTTGAAGGCAAAGTGACCAAGACAGGAAGAAAAATATCTTCTCAAAATGCCCACAAGAGCTGTGGCACGAACAGGCCAAAAGCCAGGAACCAGGAACTGCATCTGGGTCTCCCATGTCAGAGGCAGAAAGTCCAAGCACTTAGACCATTGTCTGCTGCCTCCCAGGCACATTAGCAGGGAGCTGGATTGGAAGCAGGCACATACTAGCTGGGTCAGCGTCCCCATATGGGACGCAGGTATCCAAGAGGTGTTTTAATTTGCTGTACCACAATGCCTGCGCCAAGAGTCACTTTTTAAAAAAGATTTATTCATTGATTTTTTTTTTTTAATTTGAAAGGCAGATTTATAGAAGGGGAAGGAGGAGAGGGGAAGAGAGAGAAAAAATCTACACATTTTTTTTTTCTGGGTCTCCCATGTGGATGCAGGATTCCAAGCACTTGGGTGATCTCTGGCTGCTTTCCAAGGACATTAACAGGGCTGGACTAAAAGTGGCACCCATATGGGATGCTGGCATTACAGGCTGCAGCTTAACTTGTTGTGCTACAAAACTGGCATCCTTTCCATGAACTTTTTAAAGTATATTTTGAAGCGATTAGCCAAGTGCTTAAAATAGGTCCAGAGCACAATATCAATAAATATCAACTGTTAAGTATTTCAAAGACTAGACACAAGCAAAAGCTAGACTGAGGCCTAACTGCTACTGAACAAGACCCAACTCTCAGTACGGCACTTGCCATAGGTGGGGAGCAGGGTCTTTCATAAAGAAACATTTCCAACAACTAGTTCTTTGGGAAAGGATTCCTTATAAAATCTTTCTACATCCTTTGCCAAGAATGCAGATGCTCCATGTTGAAGGTGTCTCTTCTTGTAAGGTATGGAAATGGGCTGAGGAAAACTCCCACCGTTGTACACGGATTAATACATGGATTAAGATAACCGTGAGATGTTAGCCACAAAGTACATGGTCATAAGACAAGGGCACAGTCCTTGTTTCCCTTTCTCCTGTAATGATCCAAATGTTTCTGCGCCCTTGGAGCACACACCATGCTGCTGCCATCACAGGCCCCTTGGAGCACACACCATGCTGCTGCCATCACAGGCCCCTTGGAGCACACACCATGCTGCTGCCATCACAGGCCCCCGAAGTGACTTCTTTACTTTCGAGGGTGGACGTTGAATGATGTCACAGATGCCCAGATGAGGCCGATAGTTTTAGGGACTCTAGTTTTATATATGGCCAAGGGCAGATCTCGTTCAGTGCCACATCTTGCTTCTTCCTCCAAGACCGTGAGGATTCATGCTGCAGTGTCTTGGACTGGAGCATACAGGGTATCCAGCTTTTGTTAGGGGCTTCATTGAGCGAGTGGGAGTTCTCCTCAACCCATTTCCATACTTGAGGAGCGACAAAACTCTGTCTAAACACTAGTAGGAGGTCAACTATGGGTATTCCAGGCCTGCACAGTACATATTTGCCTCATGGTAGCCACAGGACTACAACCTGGGAATGCAAAGACCATGATTTGCAAGAAATAAATCCAAATGAAGAGCTATAACTACTGCAAAGTCCTGGCTGAAAATCATGAAGACTGTCAAATGATGATAGCAATCTATCTGCTCAAAGAGGAACTGGGAGGAAGGTCCAGAGTTGCCTCTTCCTCCGCTTTCCTCACACATGACCAAAGCAAGGCTGAGAGATTGATGAAGGTTAGTGGAATACAGCCAAGAAGAGTGGGACGGAGCAAGACAAGCATTCATCCATGTTACTGAACACTGGACTTGGTAGGAAGAGAAACAAAATTGGTGGTCCAGACCTCACTTTGTGGTTTTAACAAAAAAAATTTTTTTCCATTACTGTCCTCCAGTTTACTTTTGGAAGTCATCCATATATTTCAATGCGCAGTCTTGGTCTTAGCATTTCACATACACTGAGACAGAGGAGCAGCGAGCAGACCATGCTGGAAAACTTCAACTTTTGGCTTCATTTTGGCAAGAACACAGCAAGCATCCCGAACAGCAAAACTCAAGTTTTTCTAGAAACAGTATATTTTTCAATACTGCTACTTTTGTGGCTCAGTTTTGTCATTTAAAACTTTAGCATGTTAGCAGATCTTTACATTATGACATCTTGTGTTTGTCTCTATGTACTGTCACTTTCCAGGTTAAAAAAATATATATATTATATATTATAAATATATTTATATATTTATACATATTTATATATAAATATTTATGTATAAATTTATATATTATATAAATGTGGTACTATATATACATCTATTTATTTATTTATTTATTTATTTATTTATTTATGGCTTCTTTAGTACTTTAACCAAGCCAGGATTAAGTACATCTTCCTAATTGTGATGGGTAAATATACCAAATAGTTCACTATTTCAAAAAAATGTAGGTGCAAGTCACCCACCTGAAGTTCTGCGTGTTCTCTCAGGAGTTGATCATATTCTTTTGAAAGTCTCTCCGCTTGCATCTTCATTGTGATAACATCATTTTGTGCCTTAGAGAGAGCTAGAAAATACAAAGCAGAACTTTTTCCTTATTTTTGAAATATTTTCAAACTTACAGGAAAGTCAAGACAAACTGAAGACCCGTGTGTTCTTCTTAGGAGATTCACTGTCATTTCTGTCTTCTCTCTCTACACACACAATTATTTTCTTTAATGAGTTGAGACAAAGTTCCAAACTTCGTGTCCCTTTACTCTTTAACGTGTCATTGTGTACTTCCTAATAACACAACATTTTCTAACGTAAAGCAGGTACTTTAAGAAAAGTTGGTGGGGGGAGCTGTTGTGGCATAGCACATAAAAGCTCTGCCTGCAACCCTGTCACCCTTATGGATGTCAGTTCCTGTCTTGGCTGCTATGCTTCCAGTCTAGCTCCTTGCAAACATCCTGGAAGAGCAGTGGAAGACAGACCAAGGGCCTCTGCCACCCATGTGGGAGATCCCGAAACCCAGCTCTCCATTGCAGTCACCTGGGAGTGAACCAGTGGATGGAAGATCTCTCTCTAATGCTTTCAGAATAAAAAAGCTCATAGAAAATGCAATTCAAGTTTATTTTGCTCCAACAAATGTTTTGAAATTGGCAACAGACATTTAGCCTAACAGTTATAATGTCCCGAGTCCCACGTCAGAGCATCACAGCAGCTGGTTCAGTTTCTAGCGCCTGTTCCCAACTCCAGCTTTACGCTGACACAAGCCCTAGGAAGTGATGGATGGTTTCATAACAGGGTTTCTTCTACATTCGGGGAGGCTTGGCGTGTATTCTGGGTTCCTAGCTCCTCAGCCCCGACCCTGCTCTGGACATGATGAGCACCTGGAAAGTGAGCAATTAGATGGGAGCTCTCTCTCTTTCTCCCACAAAAAACTACCACCGATATGCCAATTCTGTCAGTTACATCATCTTTATCACTTCCAGACTAAGATACAATCCTGTGTCACCATAACCTTTAGTCTTAACTTTTGTGATATTCACACTTTTAAATCATGTCCATTTTTTAAATAAAAACTTTTTCTCCTTTTTCCTCATGATTATATTCAGGTCATACCTCGATTTATATATGAACTAAATTTATGTTTTTATTTACTTTTAATTAAATTTGGTAAAGAGAGTTTTGGTGGTAGCTGAAGTACACTTGGACACGAAGGCACAAGATAAAGCTATACATTAGTTTTCCATTTTAGTTCTATCGAAAAGGTATTTCCAAGAGTTTACTTGGATATGCTATCTTCAAGACTTAACAAGTGTGGAGTTATAGACAGAGATGGAGATGGGGAAAGTCAGACAGGTCTTCCATCCACTGGCTTAATCCCCAGATGACTACAATGGCAGGAGCTGGGCCAGGATGAAGCCAGGAGCCAGGATCGTCTTCTGAAAGGTCCTAAGCACTTGGGCCAGCCTCTGTTACTTTCTCAGGTGCAATGGCAGGGAGCTGGATCAGAAATGGGACAGCCAGGACTCAAATCAGGGCCTACATGGATTCTTGTGGTACAGGCAATGGCTCAACCAGCTGTGCCACAGCACTGGCCCTGCTCAAAGTGCCCAACAGCCTGGATTTCTGGTGTACGAAAAACACACGAGTTCCTACAACCTGATGACGCATACTAGCCTATAATGGTGGCTTTTACATTGTTGGCGCTACGGTCTGAATGCTTGTTTCACCCCCTAATTCATGTTGAGCACTCACCAAGGCTTTAGAAGTCGGGTTTGGGAGGTGTTGGGACAGGAGGACAGGGCCTTCATGAATTGAAATAGTGACCCTTTCCTTGATGTGAGGATACAAGGAGATGGTAGTATCTATGGGCCAGGGAATGGGCCCTCACCGGTCTGGTGGCCCCTCAATATCAAACTTCCTATCTTCAGACCTATGAGTAAAGCATTTATGTTGTTCATGGGAAGTCCACATGGCTTTGTTCCAGCAGTAGGAACTGACTATTGAGCAGTTGATCTTACTGTTACGACGTATACTTAGGGCCTTGTGGCACAGAGGAGTAAGGCTGCTGCTTGTCATATCAACATTCCCAACCTGGAGTGCCAAGTCTTTGTCCCAGACACTTTACTTCCAATCCAGCTCCCTGCTTATATGCCAGGAAAGGTGGTGAAAGATGGCCCAAGTGCTTGGGCCTCTGCCACTTATGTTGGAGATAGGCATAAAGCTGCTGGCTTTGGGCTCAGGCCTAAACCAGCCCTGGCGGTTGCAGCCATCTGAGGAATGAAAACCAATCAATATTTAAAAAAAGAACATATTCAAAATTCGGACATGCACAAATTATTTAGGGAATCTGACATACCCAAGACATTTACGTATCAGTTCCTTATTAAAAGGAGCTAGGAAACTACCTGCAGCAGCCCAACCAAGATTTTCCTCTGCTCATCACTGGTACAATTCTATAAAAAACAACACAAATACATCACAGTTTTCTGCCAAGGTACAAACAGTGCTGGGTATTCTGGTGGATATTAATAAACCTAATAATGACTACCCTATTGAATTCACTCCAATTAGGGGAGGTTACTATCATCTAGAAGCACCGTGGATGGTTTCCCAGGCCTTTCTCTAGTTCTCATTTTATAAAAATGACAATATTGTGTTTTGGATGTCTCCTCCCTCCTTCTGGAGCTGCATCTGTAACCAAGGGATTACATAAGCTTGTCATCTGACATGTGAATATGCCTGTTTTATTTTGAGCCATATTATTTTGGAAACAGCATATATAGAGAAAACATTATTGGACAAAGGGGCTTAAGGTGATAAAGCTATGTTGCTATTTCAAGGTTTTTTTTTTAATTTCAAAAATGAGCTCTCTCTTGCCAGTGACTTTATGGAATGCTAAGATCTTTTACGAAACTGCTACTTGGGTTCAAGTAGACACCAGGCTATGTCCTAGCCACTAGGAACTTTCTAAGGCATGGGGCTCATTTATTAATATAGAAAGGATCACAACTCATGCCACAGTGACACAAGTTAAGCTGAAATGCTTGAGGCCAATGACAAAGAGGCAGGCTAAAGTATTTTAAAGTGCCAAGCTCACATTCATTGAGCCATTTGCACAGTGGGAGGAGCTGCTGAGACTAATGCGGTGGGAGAAAGTATTGTTTCATTGTGACTTCTATCAGAGATTACAGATATTATCAGCCAGGAAATGGAAGAGCAATTTTTTAGAGACATGACAGCTAAAGTGGGGCTGTTTTGCAATAGCTGTCAGAACTGAGCTGGCGGAAACCATTTTATTTAAAAAATTTCCGTAGATCTAGAATAACCCCCCCCACCACCTCTCACACATCCATTTTACTTGGTTTTATTTCTGAGAACTTGAGAGAATCATGCAGTGGAGCTACTGTATGATTTAATCCATGGATGTAGAACCCTTACCAATGACCAACAACTGCTGGACTGTTAAACCACCGATGATGCTTCTAAGATACTTAGTAGCTACACTAACTTCTGTTTGGAGAGGAATGTACCATATGGATCGATCATAGCTATTCTTGTGCTTGCCCGGGCTGTCAGGTCCACAAAGGCTCTATACTTACTTCACTCGTCACTTTAGTCAACACTCTGTTTGAACCTCACATCTACCTGTTACTGAGGTCTGTTGGTTCCTGTCTATGTCTCCAAGCTATCTACACTGTTTGTGCTCATTCTCTTCACCAGGGAGGGTTACCGAAATGTTAAATTCTTTCTCTCCCAGTAGCCTGGTTACTCAGATTTATCCTCCACGTGCTTGTGGAGACTGACTGGTCTCATGGTAAAACTTCCTGCAATGGACCCCCCAGCAATACTCCCATGGAAACACGGCACCGGAGGCCCTTCTCACAGCTCCCGGGCCTGCTGCTCAACTCCCTCTGCTGCCCATGGGCTCATCTTGGCTTAGGCTCCCTGCAGGGACCCAGAAGTGCTGTACTCTTTGTTACATACTCTTTGTTGAAACATTCTGTCCTGCCTCTTTACCTCCACTACCTTAGTTCTCTCCTAGTTCATCTACTCCATTGATGTTCCTTCAAAATAGCAAGCCATTGTCCTGTGTGCAGTTGGACATCCATGACGTCCTGCCTGCACTGTGCCCAAGGGGAACTGTGTCCACACAACACCATCTCGGGATGACTCAAGAAACGGCTCCGCCTGTCTTTCTAGTCTGTGCATCAGAACAGGAATAGGGACTTAAAAATGTGATCCTTAAAAGAAGGAAGAGCTAGATGAAAAGTATAAGCTTTAGGCGTCTGAAAAATTCATTTGTATAGAATCAGTTCATTTCCTGAAAATGCAAATTCCAGGTGACTAAGCATGAAGTGCTACTTCAGTCACCTATTGGGTATTTTTGATTGCAGCAAGATAAAGCAACTGTATCTTCAGTAAAAAAACAAACAAACAAACAAAAAAAAAAAAACCAAAAAATATTCCAGATAGCTGAAAAGCCAGCCACACAGCATGGAGTCCATTCTTGAAATAGTTGGAAGAAGCCTACGGCCATACCACCCTGAACGCGCCCGATCTCGTCTGATCTAGAAATAGTTGGAAGAAAATACCATCATATTACACGTGATCTCATTAGATTCAAGAGTTTAAAACAAAATGTCAACAAACAGTATCTCAGAATGTAATTTGATTAAAATAAACACACACACACACACTACACACCTCTAAAAAACCAATTTCAATAATGGGGCAGGAAATAATGCATAATCCTGGAGGATCTTGCAGAAAAAAACAACAAAACCAAAACAAATAAACAAACAAACTAAAAAAGTGAAGGCAGGCTACAAGAACAAAGACCGAAAAAATCCACCAGAGCTCGGGCTGTGTTAAAGACACAGAAATCAACGTAGAAGGCCCCAGTAACCAAAGCTGGAAACTTAAGCAAAAAAAAAAATAAATAAATAAACAGTACTAAATTATAGTACAAAGTATAAAACAAACATCCATTACTTCATATTAACATAAATGAATAAATGGAGAGAGCAGACAAATCTGTGCAGAATAACTTCAAATAAATTATGTGGATATTTTATT